GCCTTTGGTTGCTCTTGTTTGGGGGCCTCGGCCTTTGGTTGCTCTTGTTTGGGGGCCTCGGCCTTTGGTTGCTCTTGTTTGGGGGCTTCAGCTTTTGGTTGCTCTTGTACTCCACACAGAGTTCTTTTAACAGAAAAAAATTACAATAAAAAAATAATAAGTGCATCAATATCACAATACATATAATAGTAGGCTCTGCTGATTTATGTTAATTAAAGTGGTAACCATACCTAGCTTCTGCAATATCTGTTTTTATGAACTTGCACACTGAGCTGTATTTTGCTAGTTCCTGCTTCAGAGTGTCTTCTTCTGTTGTCCAGCTCGTCTTCTCTTTTTCCTGGTCAGCTGTAAGTGTTATAAATTACATAAATTACAAGATGGGTTTGAAGCTAGTATGAGCTTAGTAAAACATACAAAAAAGTCTTTACTTTCTTTACTTCCAACTACACGACTACTTTCATTCACCGGACTTCATAAACCATCACTTACCTTTCAGACTTTTTAACTGTATCTTTGCTGCTGCCGCCTCATCTGTTATTGTCTTCTGCAAATGCAAAGAAAAAGCTCAGTAACACAAAGCACTGGTGAAACCACAGAGATCAAATTTGCACAAATGGTTTGCAGAATGTGAATGTGATAAGTATGTAACTATAAATGATTTGGAGAAAGAAAACCCACAAGAATCAAAGTGGAGTAAAATAGTGGCTCGCTTGGCTTTCTCCTAAGCCACATGCACAATGATGCTACACAGCAAAGGCACTTCCATTTGGTAATGTGGCATGTAACATATATATAGCATTTATAGCAAAAGTACTAGCCTACATGCTATTTTTCTTACAGTTGAAAGCACCATCCACTGCTGTTTCTTTGGGTGAAGGAGTATGCTAACTTTCCCAATAGGGCCTGCAATATATACAGCAGAGACTATAATATATTGTTTGAATTAACAAAAAAAAATCATCTTTTTTTTTTTTAGATCCAAATCACAACATCAATCACATCAAGGCATTTTATATTATATGGCACAGACCCTGTAACAATACAGAGAACAGGCCAACAATCAAATGACACCTATGAGTAAGCATTTGGTGACAGCGGAAAGGAAAATCTCCCTTTTAACAGGAAGAAATCACAGGCAGACAGGCCAAAACTACTGCTGCAGCAGAAAGATTTAGAATTGGGTTATATCATAAATCAGAAATGACTGAGCCAGAACAGTTCACATGATGAAGAATTTACAGGTGTTTCTTCTTGCATTAACCATTAGACCACCTCAAAAACCACGAAGACAAAACAAGCTATAAATCAAAACACTGTGCTGCATCATTAGTAAATTTACGTACATATGAGGAACTTGCCAATACAAACGACCATGTACGCTGTTACTCATATTAATTAATAATTGGATGCAATGTGGTGAAGAAGAAACGTGCATCATGGGAAGTGAAATCACAAACCCATTGCAGCATAGCTACGGGATCCATCTATATGCTTTATCTCGTATTAAGCCTAATCTTCAAAAGCGGGGGTGCTGAATGTCAAAGACTGATATTTTGTACAGTAATGTAGGAAATCAGCTTCAGTTTAGTGGTGGCATAAAGTCCACTGTCAGGCGGATAAGCCTGATTTTCTGAGTGCACCTGAGTACACCTAAGCTCCTCCACAGGTGGAACGGGTTTTGGGAGTTCCACTAGCTCTCTCTTCCCGTAAGAATAACAAAGAAACAAAAGGAATATGTGAACCTAATAACGCCGGATAAATATTTCTACTCACCAGGTCTGCCTGGCAGGATTTCGTATCTCCCTTTAACTTGTCCCCGTCGGTCTGGAGCTTGTCCACCTCCTCCTCCAGCGCTTTATGCTCAGTGCTGGCCTTTTCCAGCATGTTCTGCTTCTGTGCCTTATCGTTCTGATATTCTCCCAGCACATCATGGGCAACCCGCAGTCTGACATCCTGAAACTTGAACTGCTTCTCGTATTTTTCGTGCTCACCTTTCCGCAGTTTCATGATCCCCACCAAAGCGACCGACACCACTATGGTCGCAGGTAGCAAAAACGACTTCATTGTTTGCCCGGCGTTGAGAGCCTTCCTTTACTGTGGAAAGTGAAGAGCGGATCTTCTTACAGAGCGGCCTCTTCGACGTTCACGAGCAAAGTTGCTCTGTGCGTGACCCTGGCAACACCGTGAATGAATTAGTGAGTCACCTGCGGTTACCTGGATTGGACTTTAATCATTGTGGTTGTTCCTGAGCTCGTCAGTAAACACGCCCTCTCCTAGCATGCCGTGTCTAAAGATAGACAGGTTGGGCCTGTTGGCTTTGAGCAAACTGGTTTGCCTTAATAGGCATGTAGTCTGTATATAGGCCTGTACACACGCACACACAAACACACACACACACATGTATGTATATAAATTAGTAGGCCAAATAATAACCTCCATAATTCAAAAAAATATGTACGAAGGTAAACGCACATATAGTTCTGTAGAAAATATAGTGAACTGCCTTTCTTAAAAAAAATAAATAAAAATAATATATATATGTGTGTTTGTGTGTGTGTGTGTGTGTGTGTGTGTGTACTATGTTGAAAGCAAACAGCAGATGTTAGGCCTGTAAGAGAAAGGCTCGAGATAGGCTGATCATGATGTAAATACATCCCAAGTGTTTGTTTAAGTGACTGCCAACAAGAGCAAGCGAGAGAGAGGGAGTGCCACAGGAGGAAACAGGTGGTTTGTCACGCCCATCCAGTTCAGCAGGTAACGCAGCCTGCAAGTTTCGCGTCACACCGGTGGACTGGTCTTTAGGAGACGCGTGCGCAAGGTTGGAGACCTGAGATGAACGAGTGACCCTCAACAGTTCTCCATCGTGTATCCCGTGTCTCCCCGTCGAAACCAAGATGAAGCTGGCGATAGCGTTAGTTGGCGTGAGTGTTGTTGTGATGGGTGTCTTGATTTTCCAGGTCGTGCATCAGGAATTTCGCCTGAGTCACTTAAAAGTCCGCTTAGTGGAGAACTCGGCGCAGATCACCAGGAAAGAGGAAGGCATAGTCGAACTGAAAGCCAAAATCTCCGAGCTGCAGAAATCGCTGGACGACGTCAACACAAAGGTGGAAACACTGAAAAAGAAAAAGGCAGAAATTGAAAAGTCATCGGAGGACGCGGGTAAAGGTCTGACGGCCTGTACCACGGAGAAGGCAAGGCTCGCGGGCGCACACACGCACACAATTGCACTTTGACTCTCCACAGGTTTTAATTCATTTGCATGCTCTTGCAGTCTCAACATTAACAAAAATTTAAAAAAAGAAAATGATAATGTGACTAACTGTAATACATTTAAGTATTTGCTTGATTGTCTCTATTTGAGCTTCATTCCGCAGTAAACCGTAACTGCTGACTTCCACTTGTTTTCGCATTAGGAGAAGGCGGAGAAGACGAGGGATAGTACAACTGAGGAAATAGATAAACTCAAAGGTAAGCCAGCTTTCTGTTTAAGTTCTGCTTTGTTGTTATGAGCTCTGGACTGACAGATCTACAAATATGTTTGCTTCTACACAATGATATGGATCACATAGGAGAATAAGCATTTCTCTGTTTGCATTTTTAAATGCACTGGGTGGTCGTCCCCCCCCCCCATTGTCTACACAAGAAGAAAAAGAAGTGTTCCATTTTTACATTCCTTTATGAAAAACCTGTAAAACCAGCTTTGCAACAGCTGGTTTTGAGCCACATGGGTTTACTTTGAACGCAAAGCTACCAGTTTCTAATAATAGGCCTACATTTACACATTCTCAGTTTTTGCTCTCATTTGTTATTATCTTTTATTGTCTCAGACGATCATGAAGCGGCTAAAAGTCAAGCCCAGGAGAACATTCAGAGCTTGAAAGAGGAGATTTTTAATAGAGATAAAGCTGTCTGTGCCTTTCTTGATACAACCAAGGACGAAGGACGGTAAGATTTTAATCACCAGCATGCATCATCAATAATAAATTGGATTAACATAGATCACTACTGGGGGCTACTGTAGAAGTCTATTTAGCACGCCTCTATTGCAAAACTGAAAACTGTCTTTTGTTTTCTTGATTTTTCAGGAAGTTGTGTGAAAATCTTCAACAATCACAGTGAAGTCACCTCAGAACTGTTCAACAATGACTACCAACTTTTTCAGAAAAATATTTGTGCATCCAAGTTTTGTATCACCACTAAGGTTATTATGGAATAATAACAAAAAAAGAAAAGAAATTCTGTGCATTCACTCAGAGAACAAGTATACAGACATGTGGAATAGAGAAATAGAATTCATTTCATATCATAAGAAGGCAAAGAAGGTTGTATTTGTAATGTATAATGTGGGGATCATCCGACAAAAATTCTATGTGCTCAAAATGTTGCGCCTAATATGATGATATAACAATAGAAATAAGCAATGTAAATAATAGAAATAACTCTTTGATTAGTTATAGGGAAAGATTATGGTTTGGTTAAAGTAACCCTCGTTTCAATGTTTGCCACATCTGTCTGAGCGTTCTGTGATAGTGTGTTCGAGCTGAAATAACCCCTGCAGAAGCTGTTTAGCTGCTATGGTTGGGTACCTGATGTCAAACACTGTAGTGTCTCCTGTTATCATATTATGTTTTACTATTTTTTAATTATTCTTTCGAATGTAATACAAAATAGAAAAAGTGCACTTATTATTGTAACAATGTACAACACTTTCATTTTAGCTCAGGCAGTAATGAAAAAGCGACATTGCAGTTATTTTGCACTGGTTTTATGATTGTGGAAACAATATTTTTGCTAAAAAAGTTCCTGTAATTTCTTGTAGTAAAACAAACCAGATAGTTTTTTTTAAAGGACACACGGACCCAGATTTTATTCAGTTTCTGTTTGGTTTTTATAAATTTGATGTACTATTTATGCTTCTGGGCCATAAACAGCAGACCTTTAAGCAGTCTAGAAAATAGATGCAATGTGTGTAAAAGTGTAAAAGCATTGTATATATCAGGTAATACGACTCTGAATATAAAGGAAGCCAAAATGATAAAACCTTTTAGATTTAAGAGGCAAAACCTAAATTATCACGTCTGTTCAAATTAATGCTCCTTGAACTCCCCCTAGTGCAGAACCTAGGTTAAGACAGACCATGTTACTGACATTGTGCTGATACAACTGAGGAAACACTTTCTTACAGGGGATCTTGTTTGGAGGAAACTATTACAAGTACAATTTGAGTACACTGAACTTGTTACAAAACGTCTTGTATGAAATTAGATCACCAAAAGCATTTATTGTGTGTTTAATGAGTGCTGTATGGATGTACAATTACTAAATAAAGTGTTTTGTGTTCCTAAAGTTCCTATAAGTTAACAAGCGCAACCTTATTATTGCTCATTTCTAAATATTGTTTTACCTTTACCTTTGCGTTCATGCAGTTCCCTTTACCGGCTTCAGCTAATCTGCAGGCAAGATGCCTTTCCTTATGGTTTCATGATAGCCTTGTATTGAAAATAATTTGTATTTGTAAAGTATATAACGACACTGAATCAATTACAAACATATGATAATCACAAATTATTATTATAAATAATGCATAAATATTATAAATGTTTTGTTTTGCTGTTGTTGTTCTTTTGAAAGTTGTTACAGAAATAATTGTTACCTCTTCTTCAACCTCCACCCACTTGCAAACTTTTTAAATTTCATTTTATTATCTTTTTAATTAATATCCAAATAGCTAATCATTTGGCACCAACTCAAAACATTCTGGCATGTAAACATTTAAATGACCTGCTCAAGTTAGAACTGAGCATCAGAATGAAAAAGGAAAGTGATTTAAATGACTCTGAAGGTGGCAGGGTTGTTGGTCCCAGACAGGCAGGTGTGAGTATTTCAGAAGCTGCTGAGCTGGATTTTCCCACACAAGCTATTTCCAGTGTTTACAGAGAATGGTCTTAAGAAGAAAAAACGATTAGCCCTTTATTGTCACTGTACACATACATCAAAATATCAAGCAAGCAGCAGTTCTCTGAGTGAAAATGCCTTGTTTATGCCAGAGGTCAGAGCAGACTGACCAGGCTGCTTGACCATGCTGGGCTTCACAACCCTCAGCTAAGAACAGGACACTGAGGCTACAATTTGAACCAAAAATAGAACGATAAAAGACCTGGTAAATGGCGCTTGGTGTGATGAGTCTTGATGTCTGCTGTAGCATTTCAATGATGTGGTCAGAATTTGGTGTTAACTACATGAAAGTTTGGATCAATGAAAGCATGGATTCAAACTGCCTTGTGTCAATGCTTCAGACTGGCGATTGTGGTGAAATGTTTTTTGGGATACTTACTTGTCCCATTTTGGGTGCCTTAATACCATCTCTTTGTGACTAAAGTGTAACCATCTTCTGAAGGCTGCTTCCAGCAGCATAATGCACTATGTCACAAAGTTCAAGTCATCTTTGTACTCAAATGGCCTCCACAGACACCAGAGATCAATCAAATAAAGCACCTTTGGGATGTGGTAGGACAGTAACAGTTGCAGATAGTAAACTATTATCTATTATCTTGTCTCTTACATTTAGATTTTTATTTGCACATTAGTTTTCAAAATTGCGTTGCATTAGCTAAGTTAACAATATAGATTAAAAACTTTATATGTGCTATACCAGAAATATGTTCCAAATATTGCAATATGCGTAAGTAAAGAAAGTTATATTTCTAATAAAATAAATGTTACGCACTTTAATCTCTAAGCTTTATGAGTAAAATAACTACAGAAAAATAATAATATATAATAATAACTCTATTAATTTTTGTTATTGTCTAATCCCCATGTGACCTAACTAAGTCTCTCTTATAAATGATTATTTCTCAAACTACTCACTTGTTTTCCACAAATGTGTAAACTTTTTTTTTTCTTTTTTTAACTTAATCACTATTAAACTTAAACTTAATCAACCATGAAAATCTGCCTTTTTGTCTCGGTAAAGTTAGAAAACATAATGGTGGTTACCACGGGAACAGAAAAAAAGTTCTATTTGACACCCAATCATATTGGAATCTGTACGGCACGTGACTCTACCCAAACGACGCAACGGCAGAACTCCCTCACGCCGGAAGTTTACAGCCTGATCTTGACAAATGAAAGTCACTGGCGGCAGTGACACACGCCATAGGACGTATTCCTATTCTGTGAGGCAGCGGAACATAAACACGAGTCAAAGATGGTTAAGTCACTTTTATTTTTAAAGCAGACCCGTGTTTACTGCAGCGACCGTAGTCTGTTTGGGCGCTAACTGACGAAAGCATTTGTCAGCTAGCTCTCAACAACCAGTTACAGGATCATTTATCTACCTCAGAATATAGAAGATATCACCGCGGTGACAGTTT